ACTAGATCATTCCTAGTACATTCTCTTGTGGCTAGGTAACACTTGGAGAATAACTGTCTCCATGCTATAGATGCACATAGTAAAATACAGTTTGAATTTAAAATAACATGGTTTATGTTACCCTGTGTTATCCTAGATGTTTGATCTTCCATTTTTGGCTTAAGACCTTGTGCACTTAAAATATAGAGTGAAAAAAGACAGGAGAGTTAAAGCATAATGGATGACTCCTTTTTCAGTGCCAAACCAACAATGTCTTCATAGCTCAATAACTCCCTTATGTTCTTACCTTTACAATGTGGAGAAGGCATTGGTCAGAAAGCTAGCACTCCCAATGACCATTGGATGCGCTTAGTCACATGCTCTGTTCACCATCCTTGTAGCCCACATGTTCCTCCAGCCCACGTACCATGTATCAAGTTTACTGTTATAGGGTAAAACTTGTACAGAGATCGATTCCAAGTTTTAAGCTATTTCAAATGGAACTGTGGGAATATGCTGATCTCTCTCCATTCCAGCCCATCATCACATTTCAGTGGTTTTAAAAAGATTTAAAATAAATATAGCCTAACAATTTGAGTTCAAAGATTTTACTTAGAAATGTGTTGAAACTCTATTCCTTATGAAAAATATGGGTATTTTTAAGTAGACTATTTTATGTACTAAAGCTACATTTGCTCTTTATATAAACCTATACTCCTATATTCAGCTTCAAAGCTGAAGGAAGTGTCACAAGGCAGTTTTTACCCCCAAACTGGTTCCTTTTTCCTTTCTCCAAATTTGCTCAATAGCAAGCAAGTGGAGGTAAACTAGAAAACCAACTCTGCATCCCTAGGGCCTGGGAGGTTCCAGAGTAAAGAAATGGGAGGCTACGAAAAGGGCGGGAGTAGCCATGCTTTCTAGTTTATGCTCTCTAGTCATCTCCACAGCCTTCATCACCTGTCATGGCACTGGAAGTCATGCCATTCAGCATGCGCATGGGATCATGAGGAAGTTGGAGGCAGGTAATCATATCAGCCCAAGGGAACAGAGACCTCCAATGTCCCGTTCTCAAAGAAAAGCAAGGTGAATGGGCGTAGGAGTTCAGCTAGGTCCCCAGGCACTGCTGTAGATAACACAGAGAGTTCTCAGCCTGAGCAAGAGAAGTCCAAAACTGCATTTCCCACACAACTCTTGAGAGAAAAGGGTTACTGAGTTTGCCAGTGAATTCACCAAAGACTAAAAGGAATGCTTACCTAAAGAAACCTGCAACGGGTTCTAAAGAGTCTGGCATTTCACACAAGCTGGGCTGGTGTTGGACATGCTCGCTGTCTTGTGTTTCATGGCATAACTGACTCCATGGTTTTATTGAGATGCTCGGATGAAGCTGACTCATGGATGACAACACAAATGACGTCTGCACTGGGTTTGGTCTGTTAACCTTTGCATTTAACTGAAACTGAAATTAAAGCTGAAAAAAAACTAAAATTAAAAACAACAACAACAACAACAAAAACAACCCAGCAACAACAACAAAAAGAAAAAACAGAAACAGTGAACTAGAAAGATGAGAGGTCCAGGAAGGCCTTGGCCATGAATGAGATTCAAAAGAAAAATGAGTATTTTATGAAAACTGATTCAGCTGACTAGATGCCTCTCAAGTGCCCTCTGGAAACAGTCTCATTTACCTGTGACATCGTGTCTTTCACACAAGACACAAGTTCCACCTTGCCCTTCAGTCTCAACAAGAGGCTTTCCTTTCCCAGGTGGGTTGAGACGTCACTGGCAGCGACTGTTCAAACAGCTGTCTGCTCCCCTGTCTCAGAGGCTTCCTCACTCTACGCAGACCAAGGCTTCACAATATATTGTCTCTCACCTCAGAGGCGTTTCTTTCTAGCTTCAGAATGAATGCTGGGTAGACTATTTCATCACAGGCCTGGGGACTCTTGCTCTTGTTTTCAAAGGGGGGCAGCCCTGGAGAGGCCAGAAACAAACACACTCAAGGCTTTGTGAATGAGGGTCAAGATGGTACTGTGGCCATGTAGTGGTAGCGCACGCCTTTAATCCCTATGAGTTCGAGGCCAGCCTGGTCTACAGAGTGAGACTCAGGACAGCCGCCAAAATAACACAGAGAAACTCCATCTTGAAAAAAAACACAAACAAACAAACAACAAAAAAGGATGGTACTATAACCCAGCTCTGGCCTGCAGTTGTCCCCTATCCATGTGATCTCTGTCAAATGAATTTAGAAGAATCATGGGGCTTCCTGTAGAAGATAGACAGGGATTATTACAGAATAACATGAAACACTGTCAAGGGTGAGAATGTACAATGACCAAAGGGGCTACTGTAGAGGAAAATACCCTCAGGTGATTGGCTCACGAGACCACTATGATGACCTATATGTCTAAGTTGCCATATACTGTATTTTCTAGTGTCTGGAACAGTTTTGCTGAAGTGTGTTTTCCAGTTCACATGATCAACAGGCCCTTTGGGATGAACCCTTAAGTGGGAGACATGGTGCCTTTGCCCTTTCCGAGTTCCCTGCTAGACAGTAACCTTTAGGGCAGTGCCGAAAGTCATGTCTCCACCCAAGGCTAGGGATATGTCTCCGATTCTATTTTTTAACCCCCCCCTAAAAAAAAAAAATCAAGTAATGTGGCAGATTAAAAAGAAAGAAAAGGTGTTAAAGCTATTAGAACAGCTGTGCTATTTCAGGTGGAAATGGGTTTCCTTTCTCTCAATGGAGCCCAACAAAGCCCCACCTTGATCTTCCTCCCCTTCCTATGGCACTGGAAAGTTCACTAGTACTTCCCTCCTCTTTACCTATGTTTTTCACACACAAAATTCTTATCTCTGGAGATACAGGAGGTAGGCTTGGAAGCTGGTGATGAGGCAATGGTCCTGCTGAGATCATGCTGCATCCTGCTGTAAATTACCCCACACTGGGTGAAAGTTCCAAAGACTGCTTGGTCCTGATAGACTCCATTCTCCATTAGTTTGAAAGATGTATTGACTTAACTTTGTGTATAAGCATGCATATATGTGCACAACATGCACGCAGTGCTCATGGAGGCCAGAAGAGGGCATCAGTCACCTCAAGTTACAGAAAGTTGTGCCAGCACATGTGTGCTGGGAACCCAACACCTACAATAGTAGTAAGTGCTCTAAACTGCAGGTCCTGAGAGACAATTTTACAACCAGCTCTTGACTCCATTTTGAGGACGAAGGATGACTGTGTACCTGTGCAAACACATGAATGGCAGCATCTGTCTGGCACCACCATGGTGATAAATGGCTCATTCCTGCAAACAGGAGATTAACCAGTGTATAATTTATTGGGGGAGAATTAACAATAGGGACACATTGGCACATTAAAATCCTATCAGGGGCGGGGTGGTAGTGGTGCACGCCTTTAATCCCAGCACTCGTGAGGCAGAGCCAGGTAGATCTCTGTGAGTTCGAGGCCAGCCTGGGCTACAAAGTGAGTTCCAGGACAGGCTCCAAAGTTACACAGAGAAACCCTGTCTCGGAAAACAAACAAACAAACAAACAAACAAACAAACAAAATCCTATCAGGAAGAATTTACTGGACACACTTGAGACAAGCAAGCCAACCTGATTCTACTTGGGTAGACTATGAACAACTCCCTCTCCTCATAAAGCACTTGGCAGTCTACCTCCTTTATCTACATGTACTATGTACACACACCCCTCTCCATACAATACACCCAAATACGCCCTTTAGGAACCCCCCTCCTCCTTCTCTTAGACCCCATAAGGGAAAGACCCAAACAATAATCATGGCTACTGAGAATCTTCCCTCTTGTGGCCTGCTGCTCCCTGCAGGATATTTTGAGCTTTTCTATTGCTTTAAATAAAATTTCCTTGCAACTCTGCAATCAGTGTGGGTTTTTACTTCATTACTGAATGAACACCAAGAACCTGGAGACAGCCAGCCCAGCAACAACCTGAACTACCGTTAGCACACTAGACCAAGGAAAAAGGCCAGCCAGCAGGATTTACAACCTTTGGTAGGGGCAGCCAGCCCATGATGCCTAGGCCAGGAGCGCCCTGGGTGAACACAACCCCTGGTCTCTTCTGTTACTTTTCTGGGGCTCAAATTGGCCAAAATCAACTTCAAGCCCAAAAGAATTCACCTGGATGCGAATAGGCAGAGGACACTTAATGCTGCATGGCTCCCACTGACCTGGCATCTGACAACCAAATGTAGGCATCAAGGACCAATAGACAGAGACTCCCAACTTTCCCTCGGGCTTTAACTCAGCTTAGTAGCTGTCGCGGTAACGCCCGCATTACCGATACCCGTTTACCATGTCTGAGCGAAGGGCTGCGGATTAATCCCAGTAATCAGCATACCGACGTCACCGCTCCTGGCGAACTTACCGACGTCACCGCTCTGTGTGTTGAGTTCTGAATCCTCTTCGACCCCTCACCTGGTGTCCGAAGTTTCCTTCCCGGGTTTCAGCACCAGTTGCGGCGCGCTCCTCGGCCAGCGAGGAAGAACGACCACCATGCGAGGATTCTTCTCAGATCACACTTTATTGGAGCGCCTCTTGGTTAAGGGAGAGCGGGAGGTGAGGGGCGGCCCCGAGGACTAAACTGCAGCTGCTTATATAGGGAATCAGGCAAACGTGCCGTACTATGATTGGATCCCGCCAGAATGCTAGCACGGGGAGCCACGGGATAGGCTGAGGACATAAGGCCAATTACCATACTCGTGCACCATAGCCAAATATGGAGTTGTTTACAGCTAGGCTGCCAGGAAGCCAGCGCCATCTTTGAATGGCGGCTCCCTACAAGTAGCTGAGATGATGTGGCCTCCTCCACTGCCATCTGCACTTGTTCAGCAGCCCTGCTCTCCCTGCAGTTAGACCTGGTCCTGCCCCTTCGCTCTACAGTGGGACCCAATCCTGTAGCTTTGCTCTCAAACGTGCGACACTCACAGCCACCGCTGTTTCTTCCGATCTCTTTCTTGCATCAGTATGAAATGGAAATGTATCTCAAAGAATAACTTTTTATTCATATTACAACAAACTTCACACATGACATATCTGAGTAGATTTCAAAGCTGGAGGGGAATAAAATACACCTAGCTGTACAAATTATACACATAGTAATAAACCAATATATAAAACAAACAGAAAAATGAAACAAATACAATCACCTGATAAACACTTGTTTAATTTCAGGAATACAGTAAAAATAAGGAGACAAGACGTGTCCCTCCCTGTATCTGAGCTGCTCATCCTGGAGCATCTGTCTCACTGCCTACTCTAGATGTGGTGGTGTCACCGGCTTGCCGCCGAGCTGGCAATGTTGCTTTTCTCTGCTTTCGAGCTCTCTCGGGGCTGGGAATAGTCCCAGGGCCGTCTGTTCTCTGTGAATCCGTAGAGCTTCCTCAGGGCTACTCGAGCGGCCTCCTCCTCTGCCACGAGGACCGTTTCCCCGGGGCCTTCTGCAATCAGCTTTTTATCACTGGAAAGAAAGCAGACAGTGAGCCTGACTGACAGGAGAGCCGAGCACGTGGGGCAGTCATGCCTTGTCTTCCGTTCCATGTAAGTATAATAGCCCAGGAGGCCCATAGTTTCCAAGTCAGAGCACAACGAAGCAAGAGGATCAGGAGTTCGAAGATTAGAGCTGGCTGTGGTGGTGCACTCCTTGGGTACCTGAGTCTGAACCAGCTGGGTCTACATGGCAAGTTCCTTAGATTAGAAAATCTTCAAAGGTTAGGAAAACGTTTGCAGAAATTTTAATCTAGTTATCTTAGATACTCAATGTTCACACCTAGCACTCTAGTTAATCTCTTTCTCTCTCTTTCTCTCCCTCCCTCCTCCCCCTCTCCCTCCCTCTCCCCCACTCTCTGCTAGGCACACTTCTATCACTGAGCTACACCTCCACCCTACTTTAATCTTAAAACCTGAAATCAATTTAAGGCAGGTACATTTCTAACAAAACTAATAGGTTCTAAATGAGTTGAAACTTTGATAGACAGCAAAGCTCCTTTCTTCTAATCTGAGGTTAGTTGAAGCTGCTACCAAGAACAGATTAAGTTAAAAAGCTCCAACAGATAGTGTGGGAGACTGTGGGAGTCCGGCTCCCACCTTTCCCACCTTTTCCAGGGTTCTTAGGAGGAGGAAAGAGGGCTTAAAAAATATCAGATAGAATGATAGGCTTAGCTGAGAAGACAGACAGACAAACACAAGACAGCTTCAGGAGGGCTTGGATCAATACCCAATGGGCTCTCCTGCCTCTTCAAAAGGGCTTTTTACAATATGCCAAGGGGCAGGGCAAAAGCCCTCCCCCTTGCTAGATCAAAGCACACCGCACAGCCAAGTATAGACCCTTCCAAACACATGGTAACCATGCCCGTGACCAAATCATCTCCTCATGCAGCCCTGCTGGGTAAAGCAAGCTCAGATTCTCAGACCCTGAGTAATCTGGGCCTCCACAAGATAGAAATCAAACTTTTATTTTTTATATAGAAAATATGAGCTTAGCTTATACCCCACAAAATTCTACAGCAAACAGCTGGCCAAGAGTGACTTAGCAGGAGCTGGAGGGAAGGCTCAGTGGTTCAGAGCACTGGCTGCTCTTGCAGAGAACCCAGGTTTGGTTCCTAGCACCAACACAGCAGCTAACAACCATCTGTAACTCCTTCTCCTGGTCTCCACATGAATGTGGTACAGACACATATGCAGGCCAATACTCATACACATAAAATCTTTACAAGTTACTATTAGCAAAACACAGATACCTTGACTTTCTCTAATAGGAAAAAGGAAAAAAAAATACCAGATAATCAGAGATGACCCCACCTTCACCCTCCAGGTCTCACTGTGTATCTCTGGCTGGCCTGGATGTAGACCAGTCTGGCCTGGAACTCACGGAGATCTGCTTGCCTCTACCTCCTGAATGCTAGGTTAGGATTAAAAGCATGCACCACCACGCCCAGTTCAGAGACACAATTTTAATGCTGCTGGTAGACGAACATTGAAAAACTGGAAGTCTATCTTTAGGGCTTCCGGTCAAAGTTATGAAGTGAAGAAGAATTTTTACTCACCAGTACAAGCCAACAAAATACAGAGGCAAGGCAGTTGTGCTTCCTGACTCCCGGGTGAGCCTGGACTCGGGAGCTGGAATGTTTCTCTTCTTCAGTTCCTCCACCAGCAGTCCCATGGGGTTTACGACGGTCCACATCTCAAAGAGCTCTTTCCCCGTCATTTGCGTAATTAAAAAGTCCTGTGCAGAAAATGACCGTTCATACATTTAAATTAGAACAAAGAATAGGACCACCAGATTCAGATCCATTTTCACCACAGAAACTGATGGGAATGAGTGGCAAATGTACATGTTAAGTGGTTAGCCTGAAATGCTCCAAAATTGAGAACGTTTGTATCAAAGTGTCGCTTACAAAAGTTCAGATTACAGAGCATTTTCAGTTTTTGGCTTTGGAATTCTGGTTTGGGCTTCTCCGCCATGGGCTCACACATACAAGACAAGAAAACTCTACCAGAGTTATACCATAGGTTGTTGTTTGTAGTTTTAATAAAAAAAATCATAGTTGAATTTAAAAAAAATTCAATTTCAAAGCCAAAGAAAACAATGCCAAGCAATATAATCTACCAAAATTATACAGAGGCAGACTCCTACTTTACAATTCAAGAATCAAATTATCAAAATTCATAGAAGACAAGCATGTGTCTACACGTGGCTACCTACCTCCTGACTAAGGACACACTCACGTGGCCACACCTTCCCACCATGGCAGATTGCATTCCTTCTTAGACTCTAAGCTAAAATAAACCCTTTCCCTTAAAACAAACAAACAAACAAAAAACCTAAAAGCTGAAAACGACTTAAATCCTTCAGAACTCACAACTCAGCATTTAATATCTGTTCTCCATTGTATCCAAAAAAGATGAAATTGAAGTAACTTCAACAAAACTACCATAAAAACAGTTTGGGTCTTTGTCAGTTTTGGGGGTAGAAACAGTCAGTTCTATAACAATATGCCAAAGGACTGGATGAGAATAAGAATGGTTTCCTTCTGTCCACGTCGAGAGTGTTTGAAGAGGTGCCCTTGGTGATACCCACCCTGATGAAAAGTGCAGTCCTCTCCGGGCCGCTGCTCTGCAGCAGGGCTCCAATCACGGCAAAGAAGGTCCGACGCAATACAGGCAGGGGGACAGGGAATTCCGCGCTGAGGGTCAACTGCTCCACAGCCAGGTTACTAGCCACGTGGCACACCACCGCCTCGCCAGTGAGAAAGCTAACCAGGCCTTCAATGCCTTCGGTGGGCAAGTCTGGGAACTCATCCGCAAGAGACTGTGTTAGGCACGTCTGTGAAAAAGACAGGCCTCGTTCAGCTAGGTCTTCGTTGTTCTTGAGATTCAGAAGAACGGCTTCTTCCTCTATCCCAAGTTTCTGACGTTTCGCCTCTTCACTTTTGATGTAGCAGCTATTGACAAAGGCAGTTTTGAGAAGGTCCAAGGAAAAGGTTTCTTGCAGCCGAGCCCCAAAGGCTTGTATCTCCGCATGGTAATCCCAGTTTGGCTTCTCGGACCTGAGGATGTAGAGACAGTGAGACGGTATGAACATCGTGATTCCATGTACAATTGTAAAGGGACAAAATAAAAGTTTGTTTCTTTTAATATCAGGTCCTAACAGATTAAATACAAAAAAGTAATGTAGATGGACACTGGCAATCCTTTGTTACATTCTAATTTTCCCTGTGGCTTAACTGCCACATTGAAGTGATTGTTCACATCAGATTAGGCTATTGCTCTAGCTTCTAAATCCCTGCTTTCTGCTCTGACGGTGAAATTATGGTCTCCACCTAAGTATGAACAAATTATAACTATACAGGTTCAGGACAGAAACCAAAAATATGTTTAGTTTATATCCTATTAATTTAAATTTCAGAAATGCCCACTTATTACCAGTTACTTAAGCTAGTATCAGTATTATAAGCATGTTAAAACTTCATAAACCATAGGTAAGCCTTGGGGCTTTTGTAGTTCAGTGGTAGAGTGCTTGCCTAGCAGACACAAGGGAATGGTGTGTGCATGGACACCTTAAATACATACACAATTCCAAGAGTTAGAATCGGTGTAAACAGGATCAATATTCTCCTGGAGAGCAAGACTACAGTAGTAATCAAATTTCCTATCAGGAATAAGTTCTAGAAAACAAACTAGAGACAGTTCCCGCTTCTTTGGGTGTGGTAACGATCTAATGGAAGTCAAACACCAGTGCAACTTTAAGAATGAAGTAGATCTGAGTGTTTTTTGTTTTTTTTTTGTCCACAAAGACACAGTAAACAGAAAATGCAAGTGCATCATTTACAAGCATGATGCACTTCTTAAGAATATAGGATTGGTTTTTTTTTTGCCAGACAGAGACAAGATTAACTAGATCAAAAAACTAAACTTTTCCCCTCTTACTCCGGACAGTGGACACGTAGTTCAGTTCTACACAGAAGCGAAATTTTCTGCCCTGGTTCTCAATGCCATGGAGTGATGTTATCCTTCTTAAAGGTGCCCAAAGAATCTCAGGCCCGAGATTGGGCAACTATAAAACTGGGCCATTCTCCAGGCGGTTGCTCTCTCTGGGGCTACTGAGATTCTGCAGGGGGGCAGCCCGGCGGCCTCTGTCGCCCTTTTCCTCTGCCCCAGACCGCGTGCCGCCAGGTCCCCACCCCGCCGCCTGCCTGCAGCTGCAGCCCGGTGCCCTCACCGCCACCTTGGCCATTCAACCCTCCTCGGACGCCTACCGTCGCACGGGCGGCGGCGGGCAGCGCAGCAGGCGCCTCCGCTCCAGCTCCTTGTAGGAGCGGAAGGCTGCACGGAACCCCTTCTTCATTCCCCGAACCTGGGGGAGCAGGATGGGGGCGGCCGGAGCCAGGAGGCAGCGAGGGCCCTGCTGCAGCAGCCGTACCACTGCAGAAGCCATGGCAGGACCCAGGCAAGGGAGAACGGAAGGAAGTCAGCCGGACCGGTGTAGCCAGAACACACTTCCCCGGGAACTGTGCAGCCGAGGGAGGACGGCGAATTAGGGGACACCCACGAGGGCGGGGCGGCGGCGGGCTGCGAATACTGCGCATGCGCAAGTGCTCCTTTTCCCCGCCTAGGATGTGAGTTTGGGTGCAGAAATGAGTGGGTAAAGTCTCTGGACCCTGACAGTCTCTCTTTTGTTTATTTCTCATTGAAGTAAAACAAAAAGTTGTTTCACTTTCAGTTTAATGGAAGCAGTTAAATCCCCAGGAGGAAAACATGTCTTGTTTACATTCAGCCGTTAAGCTGCAGAACATCAATCCTGTCACTGCTGAGCACAAGTTCGAGGTTTCGTCTGACCCTTCCCCAAAAAAGTCCCGCTCTCAAAGGCCTTGCGTTCAGAAATGTGCTTAATTTAACTAAGATTAAAGTTTGTATTTTATTTTCTTTTTATTATTTTTTATTCACCTATTTTACATCCCAGCCGCATTCCCCCCGCCCCCCCCCCATCCTCCTCTCTCAATCCCTCTCCCGCATTTTCACTCTCTCCCACCATCCAGAAAAAGGCAGGTCTACTATGAGTATCAATAAAACATGGCATATCAAGTTGCAGTAAGACTAGCACCTTCCCATGTACTAAGGCTGGGCAAGGAGACCCAAAATGAAAAGTAGGGTCCGAAAAGCCAGAAAAAGAGTCGGAGACAGCTCCTGATCCTGCTGTTAGGAGTTCCATAGGAAGACCAAGCTGCACAACTGTCCCATATATACAGAATGCCTAGGTCAGTCTCGTGGCTGTCTGTTCAGTCTCTGTGAGCCCCTATGAGCCCAGGGTAGTTGATGGTGTGAGCCTTCCGATGCTGTCCTTGACCCTTCTGGCTCCTACACTCCTTTCTGCTCCTCAGCAGGGTTCCCAAACTCGTCCAGATGTTTGGCTGTGGGTCTCCTCATCTGTCTTCATCAGTTGCTGGGTGACACCTCTCTGAGAACAATTGGGCCAGGCACCAATCTGGTCACGGAGGACAGCCAGTTCAGGATAAAGTTTATATTTTAAAACTACTTTTTTTTTTAACCATGGGGAAAAGACATGGGGTGGTGTCAAAATATTAACAGTGAAAATAATTAGTTAAAAAAAAAATCTTTACTAATGTCTTCAGCTTTCCTAACAAAATATAAATGGAAGCTCTGAAGTCACAAAGGGAAGTGCGTCTGCTTTTTGTTTTGCGCTGAACATCATGACCTTTAGAGGAACCTTTCTACAGTTGTATATAAAGGAAGCCGTGCTCCTGAAGTCACCCGAATTAGGCTCCTGTGTCTTTCTCAAACAGCTTGTTCTGGTTACTAAATTATTTTTCAATTTATTTCCACAGCAGGTTTCTGCCTCCCTCTGTGTAGCTGGAGTTTTCCTGCCTTGCCCACAGTCAGGACAAATCTTTGTCACCCGCCAGTCCCACAGCCGCTCAGACCCAACCAAGTAAACACAGAGACTTATATTGCATACAAACTGTATGGCCGTGGCAGGCTTCTTGCTAACTGTTCTTATAGCTTAAATTAATCCATTTCCATAAATCTATACCTTGCCACGTGGCTGGTGGCTTACCGGCATCTTCACATGCTGCTGGTCATGGCGGCAGCTGGCAGTGTCTCTCTGCCTCAGCCTTCTGCTTCCCACAATTCTCCTCTCTCCTTGTCCCACCTACTTCCTGACTGACCACTGGCCAATCAGTGTTTTATTTATTGACCAATCAGAGCAATTTGACATACAGACCGTCCCACAGCACCTCTGTCTGGTTATTGTAACTGACCTCTAACCAAGACATATCTCTCTTTCTGCCCAGACATCCATTTCACCTCCCTTGATATACAGACCAAGACATGTTACCACCTAGTTAGACAGTCTTCAACACTAGGACTGTACAGCACAGTTTGAGATTCTTAGCTTAACTCTTCAAGATGGAGAATCTGAATGGCTTATTTAAACCTCTAAAAGGGCTTTCAATTGACATGTAGTTAAAGCAAATTCTCTAAAACAAGTCAAAACAGTATTAAAAACATTGAAAATTTGTAGATCATCAGATGAGTGGATTCAACCAAATTACATGGAATTGCCATGTCTGCAATATTTCATTTATATATTTATTTCATCATTTATTTCTGCAATGTTTCATTTATTATTGGGAGAAATAACCTAAAGCTTGTTGATGTAACTGATGAACTAGCCTGCCTCCATTTTGGGCTTGAAAACCATCTTATAGTAAATACACACTAGGTTCATTCCTGTTTATGATCAAATGTCTGTTTCTCAAGGATTGGGCTGTGCTCCACCTGTAACCTTAACTACAAATGGTTCTACTGCCTGTTCCAGGAAACAGCAACCATGCCTTTGTTTCAAGAAGGTTATTATAACCACCTTGTCATGACCACCTTGCAACCCTGTCTTTCTTTTAGGAAGTTGTTATAACCAACTTGTTAGGTTTATGTTCTGCTTCTGTAGTAACTGCTTTCTGTCTATTTGCCTGCCAAATCCCCACTTTGGAGACCCCTTACTCCTGGATTATAAAAGACCTTATCTTCCCCGTGTCCAATGCTGATCTCTTGAACCCCACCCACCTCTAGGGAGAGACAGCCCATGTTCACAAATAAAAAAAAAGCTTGCTTTAATTAATTCAGCAATGATTTGGGTTAGTGGTCTTTCTCCTCACATCTGTGGGATTAGCAGTAACCTCAAGCTTAATAAAGTAATGTGACTCTATGTGCAGAGGCTCTTGGCAACAACAAGAACATACTTTTTTTAAAGGGAAACATACACTTTATAAATGTGATGACAAAATCAGATATATTCAAATGATTTCTTATGGTCACTTTTACCAAGACATCAAGAGATGTTAAACAACTTTCAAAATTAGTATCAAAACAGGACACTGAAATCTATCCACATGTGCAGAGGTATAAATCTTTGTTCTTCTCAAAGCTGAGCACAGTGAGTTTAAATGAGATGTTTGTTTACACCCAGAAGTCGTATATTAACATCTGAAACCACAGAGCTTGCTGAGTTCTGCCCCATGACATGTAAACTGCCAGCATGACGTCAAGGGGTACTCTGTCATATTTAGGTCTAATACTGTTTGACAGTTTTGACATTTTCATATATTAAATCTGTTTTTGCTCAGTCACAATTTTGTTTTTATGTACAAGTACACCAGCATCATATTATTTTTTGATGCTTAGCTTAAAAGGGTTAAAAAAACAAAAATCTCATATTTTGTAAAAGTGGTGAAGTTTCATGCTTTTTTATGACATGTCAATAACTGACTATACTACACCAACTTTAACAATGGACCAAATGCTTTAGACATCCAATTAAGAATGAATTTTAGCCAATACCTTGGCAACACCAGGATGTGCTGGTATGTGTTGAACTGATGTAACTGTGATCCACAAAACTATGCATATGATTAGTCAAATTAAAAAATTAAAAGCTAAAAAGCTGTAGGTCTGGGTGAGGGAGGGGTGGGCGGGGCTGCATTAGAGGCTGTCTTCAACAAAACTACAAAGTAGATTTGAGTCTTTAAGGGGATTTCCTAGTATCCAAGAGGAAAATTCTCATCGTGATTTGAAAAAGTATGAGAATGTATGACAAGAACATAGCACTACAAAGCCCAGTGATTGAGGGCTGATTTTCTCAGAGCAGGTGGGCAAACATTAAATGTTGAGAGTGCACTGGGAGATCACAACCACAAAGCATCCCCGTTAACAATCATCTGTATGTACCCAATGGGTTTAGACATTAAATGTCTTACATTTTACTGAAAGATTTTTCCAAGTTTCATCAATGCTTGTAATGTGGACTTCTATTTCTTACCAAAATCTCTAGGAAGTTTAAAAGCCGATACTAAAACTAGTTAAATCTTTTTTTTTAATATTCAAAATCTTGACAGTTTTGACTAACCTTCAAATTTCCAGGGCACAAAAGGCATATAGAGTCACCAAGAATATGTTAAAACACATGATAATTTTGTTTATAGTTATGAGAGAAATACCTTCAGCTTTTAGATAAATTTTAAAAATAGCAATATAAAAGATGTTTTGGGTCAAATTACTTCTAGTACAAATAATGTAACATATCAAATTTTCAATCAAATTCTTGAAAGCATTCAGAGTATCTGGATTTCCTAACTTTTTTTTTCCGAGATAGGGTTTCTCTATGTAACAGTCCTAGCTGTCCTGGAACTCAGTCTGTAGACCAGGCTGGCCTCGAACTCAGAGATTCACCTACCTCTGCCTCCCAAGTGATAGGATTAAAGGTGTGTGCCACACTACCCAGCAGATTTCCTAACTATTAAACAAGGCATTTTCATGAAGTGGAAAAACATGTCAGAAAAACCTATAAAAAAATAAATCTGCAAATTGAGAAATTACCAATATTCATTGAAAACTATGCCTTATGTTTACTTTCAAATTCATTTTAGCTCTCTGTCATATAATTTAATACCTAAAAAGCCTGCAGCTAAATTAATTACTACTATTTATAGAATGTTACCTCTTTGGGTAGATACATTTCACACCATGATTTTCGATTTTAAGAATTACCTGGTAGTTTTAATCACAATTTATGACTGATTGATTAGTAGCTGAATGGGCATAAGGGTAAATGGAAGGGAAAGTCTGATAATTGCTCACTCTGTAATTCTGCCCAATCATACCTGGCCAGGAGTCCAGTAGACAACTCTATGCACTTGCATTATAGTCTCACATCTCTATTACCCAGCAAGAAAAATTGGTATGCAATGTCGAGCTTTTTCCTGTTTGTTTTTAAGGAGCAGCTCAACAATTCCGGGTCAGGGTTGGCTTGTTAGGACAAAACAGAGAACAGAAGAGGAAACTACAAGAATGGCACTTAACACCCGTGTTGGTACTGAAAGACATTAGGGTAATAACTAAGGTTAGTGTGTATGCTGTTTGCTTTTCTTTAGAACACACATCAAAGCCATTAACCTGAACCTG